TCTGGACCCGAGGCTGTGGTCCCCACAGGGATCCGTGGTGTGCCTCGTTTCCGGGTGGTTTCAGCTGGGGCTGCGCCGTCCACATCACTCAGGAGCTGATCCAGCTGGCCTCCCGGGAGCTGCCCCCCAGCCTGGATCTCCGCCCCGGGGTCTCCCCGCAGGAGTGCAGCTGGGTGCAGGTGGACTGGCAGGCCCACAGCCCGGGCTGCCCTGGCCTCCCCTGCCCCGCCAGGCCCACCGCTGGCCCTGCTGGGCTGCAGAGCATAGGAAGGACTGGGCTCGGGCTCCGGGATCCCTGCCCTGGTGTGACGCGTTCCTCCCGGGCCTCTGTCCCTCCTGTGTAAGGGGTGAGAAGTGCGACAGGGAGGGACATGGAGCCATGGGTCTGGGTGTCGCTGTGACTTTAGGGGTGTCCCCCTTCCCTCCCGTCTTGAGCAGCCAGCGGCTGCTTGCCTGTGGCCATCCTGCACTGACTGGGAGCCCTGCCTGGGCTCGGTCCTGCCCCTGCACACGTGTGTCTCGCACACACACACACACACACACACACACACACACACACACATGCACAGAGCTTCTCTTGTGCCCTTCCTGTCCTGGCCTTCCTTGCACCTGTGGGTGACGCTGACTTGGCGCTGCTGTTCCTCCTCTTCCCAGACGGCCCCTCTGCCCACAGCATCTCTTCTGCACGTGAGATTAATGTTCGAAACGAATCATCTGCTTCTCCCGGCTGCGGAGTCCAGGAAACAAAAGATGGATGGCTCTGTACGTGGGAGGGGGATTAGTTAGGAATGACAAAGGACGTTCCTGGGTGCCACTCACCTGGCTGCTGTTGCCCACCGTGGGATGTGCCCCAGCAAGTGTGTGATTGACAGGCTTCGGGGTCACGAAGCAGCACCATGGAGCCCTGACCCTTCTTAGCAGCCTGGGGCCATGGGGCAGGAGGAGCTGGAGTCCCTGTCCCCACCTCCTGCAGCCCCTGGCCTCAGCACAGCCCAGGGGTGCAGCAAGAGGAGGTGAAGCCAACTCCTCTCTCCAGAGCTGGGCGGGTGGCAGTGGAGCCGGGACATGAGGTGTCCCCAGGAGGCTGCGAAGTCCTCATGTCCCCATTTGGTGTAGGCGTGAGCTTGCCTGGGGCACTCAGGCGGGTCCTGGGCCTTTCTGAGCCTTGAGTCCTCAGCTTTAGAGTGGGGTGGAGCACCCTGAGATGCAGGCGGCTCTGAGGAGGGACTTAGGGCCAGGGCCAGGGTGGTCCTCCCCTGAGATGCTAGTAATGGACCGTGACATGGCCAGCTCCCTGCCATGGCCCCGGAAAGCCTGGCTTCTTTGAGGGTGGTGCCAGCTGGGACCGGCAGACAGGTGCAGGACCGGGTTGCAGAGGGCTCTGCCTGGGGAAGGGGCCTGGGCATTTCTGAGCGCCCAGGGAGGCTGCACCAGCCCCAGAGCTGGGCGGCATCACCGTCCCAGCCAGGCAGTGGCCTCCCCTGGAGGAAGGAGACTCCCGAGGGTCAAGAGGAGAAGGAAAGGCCTGGCCTGGCAGTTCCACCCCACGGGGCCTTTGCTCTTCTATCCTCAGGGGGCCCGCATGACGGCTGCCCAGGTGGGCAGCAGGTTCCTGCTTCAGTGTCCCCCAGGCCCCTGTCCTGCAGAATGGGCCGCCTGGGGCCCTTGGAGAGCTGAGTTTCCCAGGGGTCTGGGCGCAGCAGAGGGGTGTGAGTGTCTGGGGTCTAGGTTTGCCTCTGTGGCCTCCTCTGTAAAATGGGCCCCCAGCCCACGTGGGCAGGGCCACGGGAGGGCAAGACAGAACAGGTACCCAGGAGTCTGCGTGGTCATTCTTGCTGACGTGGTCTTGGGGATCGACTGTGGGGGCCCTCGGGTGGGGCTCCCACCAGGATGGGGAGGGGCTGATGTGTGTTTCCTCCCGCCTGCCCCCACCTCTCGTTCACCCCTTTCCTTCCTTCCTGCATGTGCGCCAGGAGCAAACGCTCCCTGAAACCCACCTGGAAGGGGGGACCTCTGAGCTGGGCCTTGGTGAATAATGGCCGGTGGTTGATGAAGAAGGGCTAGGAAGAGCTTTTCAGATCGCTGGGGAGCCTGGAGGTGGGACAGGCCAGGCTGCTCGGGAAACAGGAGGTGGCTGTGGAGGCCTGGGGTGGTGGACGGGCAGGGAACCTGGGAGGATCGTGCAAGGGGGCTGGGGCAGCCTTAAGGCCCCTGTGGGCCAGGCTGTGAGGTCTGGGTTTGTCCTGGCAGCACTGGGGAGCCATGGAGGGCTTTGGAGTGGAGGGAGGTCATGGGAGAGATGCCGGCTGCGTCCTCCCTGTCCAGCCGGGGCCAGAGGGGCCCCCAGGGGGCATTCAGGAGCTGCTCAGCAGAGCAGTCACCATTGAAGGGCGGGAGCTGTGCCCCGGTCCCCCATCACCTCAGCCATCCTGGGCACAGGCTGCAGAGCCTGGAACCCTGGTCCCAGCCCCTCTTATTTCCTGGGCGTCCTCAGACACACTGTTTGACTTCTCTGTGCTACAGGTTTCCTTCTCTCCCCACAGTTGTGTCCTGAGGGTTAGCTGAGCAGCTACTTGCAGCGGTGGCTGGTGAAGGGGTTTGGGGAGGAGGGCGAGGTCTGCTTCTGGGCAGCGGCAGAGAGTGTGGAATCTCCCGTGCCCCACTTGGAAGCCCCTCCACACCCCGGCTTCTGTGAAGGGGGGGCGGTGATGGCAGCCGCCTGCCTGAGCAGGCTGTGAGAACAGGGCCTGTGTGCTGGCCCTCGGTGGCCGCCCAGCATGGCCCCTGCCCTCTCCTCTCAGGCGTTGCATGCTGGCCTGGACCTACTGCTGGGCTTAGCCCCACTTAGGGACACCCCAGGCCTCCCTGGCCTGGACCCTAGTGGCCTAGGCCAGGTGTGCCCTGCTCACTGACCCCTGGGCCCACCCCTGCCCCAGGCTGTGCACCCTGCCCGGGAGGCGGGAAACCTGGGCAGGAGCCCTGCTCTGCTCTGCTGCAGCCAAGCACTGCCCCCTCCCCTGCATGGGAGCCTGGCTGCGTGCTTGGGGGAGCCTCTAATGGTGGCGCCAGGTCATTTATATTGGCTAAGCGGGCTTAATTAGGCTAGATCCGGGGGTGACCACGGGCGCACAAAGAAGCTGTTAAGGGGTTAACCTCCGGGAGATTACATTGTATTCAGCGCTCTGTTAAAGTTTGAATTAATTTTTCCCATGGGTTTGTTCACATTCTAATTTTCAACTAAATGAGACATCTGTTTCAGAAAAGGGAAATTTGCTCTGGTTGCCATGGCAACTATCATTCTGTAAGAAAATTATTCCAATGGTTACTTTAGAACCGAGAGACAGAAATTCAGGACAGGAAGCCACCTCCCCTGGCTCAGCCCGAATTCGGATTCACCGCCCTCCTGGACGGGGCAGAGGGGGCAGACCCCCGGCTCCTGGCCCGAGGGCGGTGGGGTGGGGCCCAGGCACCAGGTTGTGGTGTGGCTCCTGGGGACGCTGCAGCTCACGGCTCATGCGTCCATGGGCCTCAGAGCCCGGGACATGGGCGGTGAGGGCGGCTGCATCCCGCAGCTCAGGTGACAAGCCCCACTTGTCCCCTCTGCCCTGTCCTGGTCTGAAACATCAGGCACCCGGCCGGAGGTGAGGCCGCGGGTCACAGTGCCTCCTTCCAGAGCCAGGCCTCCAGGGCTGAGGAGGGGCCTGCCTGGCCGACGCCTGCTGGGCGGGACCTGGCCTGGCGGAGCCCGAGTCCGTGGACACTGGGCAGTTCCTTGTGGTCCAGGCCCGAGGGCTGCCTGGGCCTCAGTGGATAAGGGGATAAGGTTGCCCCAGAGAGTTGCTCAGGCCCCGCGACTCCTGCCTGCGCTCAAGAAAGGCCCCTGCCTGAGGCCAGCTCAGAAACGTCCTCGGAAATGTCCCCGACGACCTGCCTCTCTGGTCCCCAAATTCTAATGAAAGTTGCAATGTCACCTCTCTGGTGGGCGAGCTCCGGGGGCTCAGGTGTGTGTCCATGGGCCGCAGTAAGGCCCTCCCTCCCAGGCAGGCAGTGGGCCCAGCAGTGAGCAAGAGGGACCGCCCTGTCCCTGGGGACAATGTCTGAAGACCACGCCTCCTTGTCCCACGACATGGGAGGAGACGGGCCAGGAGGGGTCAGGAGGCCAGCGCTGGGCGGAACCAGGGTGTCCAGCTCCAGCTTTAGGGTCAGAGGGGCCAAGGACCTAACCCTGTGGTATTAGTGCCCACGGACCCCGGCCAGGTCCTGGGGGACAGTCAGCTTGCCTGTGTGATTGGGAAGTCCTCGTGGCCCACAGAGGGGGCTGAGATGGGATGGGAAAGGAGGCGGGGGGCGGGGGGGGGACGAGGACCTTTGGCCCCGTGGAGACCTGGTTCCCGCCCTCCTGTCCTGGGCTGCTGTGCCATCACGGGGCACCCTCGGGTAGCGGAGTTCCGCGTCCCGGGATTCCAGGTCAGGTGTTTCCCGGGACCCGGCAGGACCTGCCACCCAGAGGAGGCCCCTTAGTGCTGGGCGAGGGAAAGCCGGACCGGCAGAGGCTCCCCAGGGGCAGCTGTGGGGGTCCATGGGGGTCTCTGATGTGTTTCTGAGTGTCGCTATCAAAAACTCACCCCCTGTGGTGGCTCCGGAGAACTAACAGCTGCTTCTCTCCACACTGAGGAGGCCTCGTCCTGCCTTGTAAATATTTGATTAGATTTTTGAAGAATGGAGCCTGTGTTTGAAAGCCAGTGCCAGAAATCCACTGCTCCTTCTCCCGTTGGCTGGCGGGGCTGGGGCTCCCGAGGCCCCGGCATCCGGGCTGCACAGCCTCCTGCAGCAGCTGCCCCAGGGCCCTCGCTCAGCCTCGGGCTTGGAGCTGGCGGGAGCCTTCGGAAACCCAGCCTGGCGGTCAGAGCTGAAGCCGCCTGGAGCCAGGGACAGGGCTGTGCCGGCCAGGACTGCAGACCAGGACCGCAGGAGGAAGGGCCACACCGTGACTCGGGCGCGGAAATGCTTCTACTAAGTAGAAATATGTTTAAAATATCCCTTTCCTGCTCTCTCTACTCATTCCTTTGCTTTTCCTGTTTCTTTTTTTAAAAATGCTGTTGCCACCCATCAAAATGCAGTTTAAAACACATTGCCTAGGCCGGAACTTTGTCATGTATGTTTCATGGGTGAGTCTAGGAGGAGTCCATGTCAACAATGGTG